GAAAATAGAAGAGTGAATTGTAACCGACGAAACTCTCCTGATTTGTGTTCTAGTGGCAAGACCCGAATAAAATCCGAAATTTTTTTCCTTTGACCCGACCCGAATCAATATTTTTTACTTTAACCCGACCCGAGACAATCGGATCCGACCCGACCCGTTTCGGTCTCTGGTATGTACACAGATTCATTTCTTAATTCTGTCTATAAATAAAAAAAATATGGCGCCGGACAACTAATAACAATTAAAAAGTTCGAAGTAAGTAATTTTTAAATTAGCGGCGCCTTACAAGACACATTTTTCTTCCACTTGTGGAACTCATCTAGCCGAATCTGGACAGTTGTTAAAAAAATAAATGGTCCACGTTCAGTAACCAGAGAACTATCTCCCGTTTTCAGAATGTCTCTACATACGTAGTTGTCTAAATCATACAACTCACTTTTTGCAAAAACAATGACTAAACAAGAAAAAAACAACAAAAATTCCTGAACAAATCCAAAATGTATATCGATATAATAAAAAATACTGAGCGGTAATTCCCGTCACAATCCCAGAAACATGATAGGTGAGGGTATCAACAGTATTCAATATTTTTGCTGGCAAATAATTTCGGACCAGGCTGGGAAAGCAGCGACTAATAGAGAATTTCAAGCATCACCAGAATATATAATTACTTTTGAAAATCTGTTATACATGTAATAAATTTAAAAAGTCGACTGAAAACATTTGTTTCTAGGTGGATATATAGAGCATATCGCCTACTACATCCGCTAAACGGGTGACACTTTCGAAATATGAAAAGCTACCCATCTATCTAGGTGACTCATTCACTCGAATGGGTTATAACTGGATGGCTGGCACTCACTTATGTGGGACACGAATTTACAGTGCATGCCGTCCACTTTGCTGTATTGTACACCAAGGAAGTGAATGAATTTCCTTCGTTTACCACTTATCACTCACTTTAGCAGATCAACAGTGTTATTCTACTGGGTGATCGATAATTCACTCTTATAGGCGGCACTCTACAAAAACAGATTTAATCTGACCGGCAATACCGGTCACCCAGTAGAATAACACTTTTGACCTCCTAAAGTGGGTAATGAGTGATAAACAAAGGAAATTCATCCACTTTCTTTGATGTACAATACAGAAAACTGTATGGCATGATCACTCGCTTTTCTGATGTCAAGTTTCACAGTGTATTTATGACTACAAGAAGACAAGGGCCATTGAAGCATATGTTGAGTCTCTGCCGTTTTTCCGCTTTGAAATACAGAACGAAATAAACGAAAAATATGATAGTTTGACTACTTTCAATTAATAATATGCACTCACCACAAGCGTTTTATTAAGTTGTTTCTACTGGATGTCTGGATTATACTGTATTATATAAAAGAAGTATAGGAAAATCAATAGAAAACAAAAGTACCTTGTTCGATTCTAATTGTCAAATACCTCAAAAAGGAAATGTGTAAACAGTTAAGATTGGAACTGCGATTATTCTTACTCGCTTACGTCTAGATACTTGCGTCGATTTCCATACTACATTTTACGAATAATTTATCTTCACTGACAGACAGAGAAGCAAACAAACTTCTACCGAACATTTAGTTCCCTAGTAAGATTTTTCTATATATGTAGAATAACCCAGTAGAATAACACTGTTGATCTGCTAAAGTGAGTGATAAGTGGTAAACGAAGGAAATTCATTCACTTCCTTGGTGTACAATACAGCAAAGTGGACGGCATGCACTGTAAATTCGTGTCCCACATAAGTGAGTGCCAGCCATCCAGTTATAACCCATTCGAGTGAATGAGTCACCTAGATAGATGGGTAGCTTTTCATATTTCGAAAGTGTCACCCGTTTAGCGGATGTAGTAGGCGACATGCTCTATATATCCACCTAGAAACAAATGTTTTCAGTCGACTTTTTAAATTTATTATTTTGTGCTTGTGATATTTTGTTTCTTTGTTGTTATTTTTGTTAGAGATACTTGAAATCGAAAATGAAATAGATTAACCGCAAGTTGTAGAAGAAAGTGCAACTTCTGCAGTTGAATCTTATAGCCGGCGAATCTGTTGGTTTGAAGTTTGTTCTGGACCGAAAAAAAGAAGTTGCACACGTGTGCAACTATTATCGTCGTATGCACTATTTTGCATGTCGATCAAAGTGAAAGGAGTTAATATTTTACGACTTCTATGTCAGGTGAGATGGTGGGCAAGACAGAGCCAAAAACCACGTTGGCCAAAAATTTTATTGTTTACATTGCAGAAAGTTTTCTAAACTTAATCGTTGATCAATCTCGAAATAAAACACTTTTTTTTAAGATAGAAAAATTTTGTACGCATTACTGGCAATGATACCTTTGTTGTTATACAGCCAAAAACTAACATTATAAGTAGTACCGATTGTCGCTGCAAATGATTGTCCTAAATATGCCATTGTACTAACCCCGTTATGAAACGAGTATAAACCAGTATGCACTGGTGATGTTTCGATTTCAAAGTTGCTGTTATACGATGAACCAGTCGCAGTCCAACCTGGATAACTGCTACTACTACTTTCAAATCCACCATTTGTCAGTAAATTCGTACCGCCGACGATACTAGCAACACTGACATCATCCAAATTAAATTGACCCGGTGCGTTAGAGAAACCAAAACAAAGTACATATTGAGTACGAGTTGCCGGAAATGTGTATGTATACGATGTAAAACTTTGACTACCTAGATTGCTTCCCATCGTAAAGTTCCGTAGTGATGCATTAGGATTACAGGTGGCAGGCATTAAAGCTAAACACAGTCAGAATACAGCGAATATAAGTGATGATGCAGATGGCTGATTCAATCCTCGGACGACTTTCCAACGCGTCAAATATCACCAAGTCACTTAAGAAAATTTTGGAAGAAGCATTTTGTACACTATCTATGTAGATTGAAAGCTCCTGCCTTAGAGTATACAGCTAGCTGCATAGTTAGAAGGAAATAGAAGCTTCTCTCGAAACCAGATAATAAAAGTTTTCAAAACGTCTCACTTGTTGTTACTGCGGTTGTAGTCATACTTGTAGTTGTGGTTGTTGTGGTCGTGCTTGTAGTTGTTGTTGTTGTAGCTAAACAACGAAGAATGAGTGGCAAACACATGAGAGATATTCGTATTCGAAGATGAGTTATCAATTAAGATATCCTGTTTGAATTTCTTGTTTACTTGTGAGAAGAAAAGGAATTGGATTCAGTTTAATCTAATCATCGCTGAGATTACCTTATAAAACCTAGGTTTACGCACAATCCTGTATGCTTTTTAAATTAAAGTTCTTCAAAATGCGCACTAGTTCTAAAATGGCCCTTGATTCGAAAGTTCCAATCGTTTTGAACAAGGAAAGCAATACTTTTAAAAGTTTGTCTCATTGTAAGCATAGTTTCGTAAATCAACGTCTCATCAGCTAGCGCAAATACAGGCATTTTTTCGAATTTTAATCCGTAGTTCGGACATGGCACAATAACTGGTATCTAGTTCGAAAAAATAGCGAAGCAAGTTTACTTGTAGTAGTAGTGGTTGAAGTCCTAGGCGTTGTTGTGCCTGCAATCAATACAGAGAAACTGTGAGTTTGTTTTCCTGCATTTTAGAGGCATATCATTTACTAGTAGTGGTACTTGTCGTCGCGTGCGTTGTTGTGGTTGATGATGTAGCTATAAGGCAAAACAAACTGCACTCTGTCTTTTTCCGATTAAACACTGTATTTCTCAAACGAGCTTACTCGTTGTGATAGTGCTGGTGGTAGTAGATGTTGACGTTGTAGCTAGAACGGTAGGCACATAACAGACCCATCATTATTTCGAGATAAGTTTTCAGGTGCGAAATCGTGCTTGACCTTAGCTTTCTTTACGTGTGAGAAGGAAAAGAAAGTGATTTTAGTCTAATAATCGTTGACGGAATCCTGCGAAAGAAAGGCAGATTTATATGACCATATAATCCAAAAACTTTAATTGCTCAACTGTTCGAAGCTTTTGTTATTTTCAAAATTCCAATATCAGAATATCTCAGAATGTTCAGTTAAGAGAAGTACAGTGCTTTGCAGGCTGGAATATAAGAGTACTAAGATATTTCCGCTGAAATAGTTAAGCGAAGTTTACTTCTGCTAGTAGTAGTAGTCGTTGTCGTCGTCGATGTCGTGCCTGCAGTTAAAGATGTAGAAACATTATCTAATATTCTGTGGCTTGTACTTTTAATGTACAAATGATTTACTTCTAGTGGTACTTGTTGTCGTGTATGTTGTTGTGGTGGTTGAAATTGTTGCTGAGAAAAAACGAAGTGGTTAGCTTTGAATAAAGGTCAGATTTATCGTCTTCAAATTCTTACTTGTTGTGGTAGTGGAGGTGGTCGATGATGTGGACGTTGTACCTAAACAAACATGATTGTTAGTATTCATATGTTGAACGATTTTTGAATTTAGTTTCCTTTTCCTAATGTCATGACGGTGCTCATATGTTCTGATCTTTTTATCCCTTTCTATCTCTCCGTAGTAAGAAAATAAAGAATGGATATCAATTTTTCTTTCTTATCCTAGAAATTGTACTGAAAATCCCTTCAGGAGATATTAAAGGCGGTACTGATCTTTCAGTGTCATTAAACTGAAGAAGGTTTTCTCTTATAGCTGTATCTTTTTATCCCTTTCTGTCTTTTTTCGTAGTATTTTAAATTGCAATCTCTGCAAGGTATATAATAGATGATGGTTTTCGGCTGTTTTGTCCCTCTCCCAATTTTGCTGGTTACGAAACCACTGATTTTTTCGGTTACAATAACCCGAATCATGACGAGTTGCAACATTCCCAAAGGCTACAGCTCTTGTCCTCCAGAAAACTCTAATCATTTTTATGAAGAATTAACGATCTTATTACGTGATTATAAGTCGGACTTACAAGCTAACTTGATTACTAATCTGCATACTAGTCGAAGATAAGAACAGTCTCAGTATCTCTGTCATAGCAGCAAGGAAGAAGTTTACTTTTGGTAGCTGTGGTTGTTGTTGTCGTTGTTGTAGCTGTAACAAAAATGCAGAAATATTATTTGAGAAACTGCGCCCTAATTTCCAAATCATTTACTTCTAGTGGTGATCGTTGTGGTTGTGGTTGATGTAGCTAAAAAATCACATTGCGGTTATTTTTCGATAACGGTCAGACTTATCGGAATGGCTATTGGCACTCCCGGGAGTGTCAACAAGAAGCTATTGGTACTCCCAGCAAGTGTTTGGGAGTGTCAACAAGGAGCTATTGGCACTCAAATTCATTACATGAACCTGTTAAATTCAAGGAGCAAACCTGAAAGTTCTTATTGCAAAAGTCAAATTTCTCTGATAGACAGCGGTTACTGGGATATTCGCTGAGGGCGCCACTGTAATCTTGTATTTTTGCAGTGTAGTGGCATTTCCTAGGTGTGCCAATAGCTTCTGGTTGACACTCCCAAACAGTTGCTGGGAGTGGCAATAGCTCCTTGTTGACACTCCCTGGGAGTGCCAATAGACTCACCTTAGATTTATAGTTGTAAAATCTTACTCGTTCTGGAATTGGAGGTGTTCGACGCGGGGGTTGTAGCTAAATAAATGGAAAGGTTTTTTTTAAGGGCCTCCCATTCAGATTAAATGAAAGTGGGAGGCTATACTTGTCGTAGTAGTAGTAGTTGAATTGCTCGTTATCGTAGCTAAACAATATCAAAAACAGCGAGCGACACACTAAGATTGCTAGCTATAAGAGCACACACTTACACTGGTGCGATTGTGTACTATTATTAATAAGTGTAGGTAATGAAACGAAGAAAAATATCGAATCTGTTGACGAATTCAGAATGTAACTACTGTGATTCAAACAATAACTTTGGAAGAATTCACACGTAAAATTCGTTGTGTAACAATTGAAGGAGACAAAGGAGTTTTGGAGTATATAGCATACACAGTGTTCGCATGATGATACGTTGCACAGAAGAAAAGGCGCGATAGTGTCCTGTTGAAAACTGACATTGACTATCCTACCAATTTCTATACAATCATGCGAAGAATAGAGCCCAGTAAGCAGTATAATCAGTAAATAATAGGATAGAAGCATTTTTTTTTATTTTTATTGAAACTGAGAAAATAAGTGTCAAAGTTACTATAAAATTATACTACGTTTCTTCGAAATTTATATGAGTTTACGTGTAAAGTCTTTGTCTATGTTTCGCCTTTTTTTTCTTTTTTATTACCGTTTTAAAATCGTCCTAAAAGAATTACCGAAGAAAAAAGAAATTTTTCCGAAACAAAGTCAAACAGTTATAATAGAAAAAGTAACACTTCGTAATTATTGTTTATTTAATATTCAATCGATAAAATAGAAATCGAAAAGAAAAAAAACGTATGTTTTGAAATGCAGAAGAGGTGGAATCCAAAATAGAAAAAACGACATTATTTTTAATGGAAAAGTACTTGGCGAACCGTATCACACTTGAACTTAGACATGTCGAAATAATGTTTTGATCCAGCTTTGGCTTTCTACAAAAGAAGAGGAAAAAGAAGACAGTCGCTACGAAGTCGTGACTAGGAGGAACTAATGTTGAACACAAATTTTCTCTATAGTTTGGCACACTGATTCTCAGGGTGAAAAACGCAGCTCTTTATCTAACTAGGAGAGCTTTTCAGTTTCACAGCAGAAATAGGATTTGCATGTGGAAATAACTTTTATTTCACGGCCATTAACCTAGAAGTCCTCGCACAGAACTCTCAGCTTAATCTCAAATAAAAGAGGACGTCGTCTACTATAAGATCTTGATACAAGATTTTGGTAAGAAATGTAAGAATTCAAGAAATTTCAAGAAGTTAAGTTTTTAAGCATCTTGCACAGTGGGCATTTAGACGGCATTTTCTGAAAAAATCGTAGGTACGAAATTTTCTGTTTTGAATAGCGGTATATATAGTGTAAACAATGCCCTATTTAACAGTGAAAAATGTTTTGTTCTAGCTGCTTCCAAAGTGGAGAAAACCAAGTTACAAAATTACTAGCGGAATAGGCGTGTTGGTATTTAAAATTGCATTTTCTCCATCAAATTTGAATTTTTTTTGAAAAACAAACACTGA